TTTGGGGTATGCCCAAAACCTTAACCCTAACCGCATGTCTGACCAACCTTTGTTCTTCATCAGTGGCTTCAGCCACCATGTCGCATCAAAAGTCCGGATGTGTATAGGTCATGGACTCCTGGGCTGCTAATATAGAAGCCTGCATAGTTAGCATGCCAGTTTTTGGGCAGAGTTCCTTGTCATATTCAGTTTATGGTAAGGCCTCTATAGTTACGGAGCCGCAAGTGTATGGCTCCCTCAAAGCTTCATCCCTCATTCCTACAAGCTCGCTGCACCCTAAACCCGAAACCAGTGGACCCCAACCATCATATCCAGTCGCCCAAAACCCCAAATACCAAACCCCTCGGTGTTAGGTGGGGCGACAAGGGCTACTTCTACATGCCCTATGCACCTTAGCTTTGGTGGGAGGGTGCCGATCGAGAGCCAGGAAGTCCATGGTGTCCATTCATGTCTTAGAAGATTTCGCATATCACATGATGGTGTGATATATCATATGGTCTTTTATCATACTATACCATATGTCATCATATTGAGTTTTTTATTATGCCAGATGGTTTTTGTCAGAAATCCGGTGGTTGAGTTCTGGTGAGGCTGAGCGGAGCAAGCGGTTTTTGTGGGGTTGTACAAGTTTGTTCGGTTTTGTGAACGGGGCTTGGGTTAAGGTAAGTTTTAAGGTAAGTTAAGGGTGTAAGATGTGTAGGGATTCTGTTGGTCTTGTCGGAAGCGGATTTGCTATGACGGTCTTGGATCACTGCAACTGTCAGTTATAGTACCTCGATGCCATATCTTTAGATCCGTGTCATCTTCGAATACTACAGTTGAAGCTAAAGAGGCACGAGACATGGGGCGAGTTTGCCGGACCACGCCATTTCCCCCGTTGCGTTTCTGCCTCAAAGCGTCGTCACAATTGATACGAAAGTCGTCGCAAACCCTAAGAACCAAAACCAAAAAAAACAAAAAACATGAGAACAAAAAACAAATTATTTGAGATCTCTTCCATTTGTAAATATGTCTAGTTTTATTCTGAAGGCATACTGAGACAATTTGTTTTTTGTTTTTTTGGTTGTGTTGGTTTTGTTTTCTTTTTGGTTTTGGTATTTGTGGTTTTGTTAAGAGAAAAGGGTTGTTGTGTATTTTAGGAGTTTGATTACAGCAACGCCCCTAAGCGTAAGGGTGGCAGCGATGTCGTCGAAGAGGTACCTGAAACTGCCGAAAACGCAGGGGTAGAGCTTGACCCCTTAACCATGATGTGTATATATATATATACACACACATAGAGAGAGAGAGAGAGAGAGAGAGAGAGAGAGAAAGCGAGAGAGAGAGAGAGAGAGAGCAAGAGAGGCTCTTGTTTCAACACAAGTACCGTGAGACGAGTTTTTCGACCCTCCACATCCTGTGTTGCAGCAACCGACAAAGTTGAAAACTAATTTCGGTCCCCACTCGGGGGTTTTTATGACTTTATGACAGTGAGCGATTATGCAAAGGCGTGAAGCCAGCCCCAGAAACGTTTGTGCCTGTTTGGGCCTTCGGGCTTTCCGGTTGTCGACGTACTGGGCAGAGAATGGAGAGACGAAGTGGCCCGGGCATCGGCATGTCCGTGGCTGTAGCCGATGCTGATATTGGTTGAAGCCTTGCAAAAAGAGGTTCGACAGCACTGGCCCCGAAAACTGTCATCAAAATCAGGTTTCCGGTTTGGGGCTTCGCAAGCCATCATAGAACTCGAGCATCCATACCCCAATGGCGTTGAGCGCTACAGGTTCACACGGGACATCACTTATCCTAAACCTTTCCTAAACCCCCCAAGACTAAACCCTGACTCCAGCTCAGGCATACATCTGCAATCCAGACCTTGCAAACGATTTCTGGTCTATCGAGTGGGTGAAGTCCTTCGACAACGCAGGACTCTTAAAGGATCCTGGAGAACCGGCAGAGCCCCAACAACCCTGAAAACCTTAACCCTATTCTCCTAAACCCTATCGTATCCTGGAAGCCTTAAAGGAACCTGACAGGGAGCAGGTCTTGTGACCAGTCCGGGATTGAAATGGTTTACGCCTGACAGATTATAAACCCTTAATCCGGCACTTTAATCTCCGTAAAAATGCCGTGAAGCCCTACACGGTTTCCTAGGTAGTATGAGGGAGACCCCTTAAAGGGGTTCCGAAAAGGGACCCTTCGGAACCCTACTTCTGGCTTCCTTGAAAGGGACCTTATTGAGAGGGTCTATATCCCCAAGGGTCCCCTAATCCTAACTCCTATAAGGGTGGGGCTTGCGCAAAGTAAGCGTCGCAGATGCATCGACTACTGGCTGGGTCAACAGGTTGAGGTCTACCCAAGCCTTCCATCGCGATGTCGCCCAAATTGGCGACCACTATACGGCAAAGCGCAGGCGCACGTACCACGAGGCATGAAGCCCCTGACGGAGTGGAGGCCTGCACAGCCTGCACGAGGAGGGGTGCCGAGATGCCGGAAAACACAGGGGATGCGAGGCGGGCTCGGTTCAATGCCCACGCGCAAGAGGCCATGCGACAGCCACATGCCTATCGGGGTTTTCAGTCCGAGCTCCGCCCCATCGCAGAGGGAAGGGCCGCCGATTTTAGGGGCATGAAGGCAGCTGAACCCTTTGGAGCCACAAGCTTGGAGCGCCAATCTTTTCGTCCTTTATTTGCACGCAATCTTACAAGATGCTTCCTCACAGGATCTCGCTAGGACATCGCTGGGGATTGCAGTTTTCACTTCAGCGTCTGAACAGTTCCACAATCTTGAAGCGTCGGCGAGAGTTTTGGTTGTGTGTTTGCGGCTCGGGTTCGGGTGGAGCTTCGGTTTGTGTGCTCTGAGGCAATTGTTAAACACCGAAACATGCATGCGCATGGATTGTAGAAACTCCTGGAGTGAATCAGTGAATGCTCACTCAGTTCAACAAATCAAACCGAAGGGTGTCGAATCACACATATACCTCGAAAAGGATTCCTTAAAGGGATCTCCTTAAAAGGATCTATAAGGGTTTAGGGTTTGGGGGAATTCTTCCGTGAAAAAGCTGCAGCACCTTGCACTTCGGGAGTGTTGCCATCAACAAGATCCTCAAGCCTCCCAGGACTACGACCAATCTGGTCAGTTCTCTAAATTAGGGTCCCCTTTAGGGCCCATTGTATAGGGGTGCCGTACTATATTGGGGATCTAAAAAGGGACCCTACTTTAGAGAACTACCCATATGTGGGCCTGAGTAGTTACCACTACTGTTCCCTATAGCTTAAAGCTATGAAGGCCGCTATGTTCTCCTTCACAGGACCGAACATCATGTGACCAGATGCTCCTCAAGCAGCCACCGTGAGCGGTGTGAGTCAAGGATGCCTGTCGTTGAATACCCCAGATCATGATAAGCTCCGACTCGAAACCCTTGCCGAGAAAGTTAGAATGCCGAATGAGAAACTTAAGGTTAGCCTGAGACCTGGCTTAATTTAGGTCCATATGCGACGGAGGACTGTTTTGCCATTAGCGCTGCACGCGGCTTAAGGTCTTGCAGCTTTTGAAGACTTCCTCCGTGCCCACTTGGTTGGGAAGGGGAAGTTGTGCCGAGTTTGCTGCCATCCCAACTCAAGTTGGGCGGGGTAGCGCTCTGCCAAACGGCCGGCGGCCGGAGTTGTTGAGGGGCCGTTTCTGGGCCGCGATATCAACAATCTGGTTTAGGGCCTCTGAGAGTGTAGCTGAATGCTAAACTGCTAAACTCTACTGACCGGCTTGCCAGAAGCACACCTCCCGGGTGCCTGCGAATTGCTCCAACGCGCAGCGCGAAAAGGTTGGTCAGGAGCATCCTTCGCGCAATGAAATATCCCCCTTTTGCAGGTTTATCTTGTGCCGAGATGAGACCGTTCCTCTCCTCAGAGAAGGGGACCATGGTCAAACGCTCAAGGCAAAGGAGGGGATGCGAAAGCAGGAGGACGTAGAGAGCATTTTGCAGGTAGAAGTACTTCTACGTGCGGTGTAAACAATGTAGCCCTATTGGTCTATTGATGATCTATTAAATTCCCGAGTGACTTGATCCTTCCGACAGACACCCCGATCATCGAACTTTCAAGTTCAATACCTTCTGTTTCGTGTTCACGTCCCCTACTCGCTTGCACGCAATCCGAAGCTGCTACCAGGCAGAGCTTATCGGCTCAAGCATCGCAGCTATTCTGCATTTTCCACGCTTTGCCGCTAGCAACTTGGATGTGATTCAGCATTTTTGAATATGTATGAATTATATAGGGGCCTTGAGAAGTTAGAAGAGGGTGTTGGGGAATACTATACTACAAGTGTATTGTAGCCCAACTGGAGATTGCAAAAGCCGGTTTGTCATTCCGATGGGATTCCTTCCACGGATTCGGCTTATTCAGCAGGGCGTGCTAATTTCTCGGCTTACTGTTCCTTCCCTCCTGTCTTGCTCTTGTTGCTTGTTGAGTTCTCCTCCCGACCTGTAGTGTAGAAACCTGATCAAGAAGCCTTGGCCCCATAACCCCAAAATATAAAGATCCCTTTTAAGGCCCCTAGTAAAGGCCCAGGGTTTCTTCATCAGGTTCCTACATTAGACTGATAGCATCTGATGCCAAATGGTCCTTTGGTGCTCTGGATCCGAGTCCATTGGGTCTGTGTTCGGGGCGTCGGAGATCTTGGAACCAGAGTGTCTAAGGGCACTGGGATAGTTTTCGGTGTCTAGGAACATAGGGGCGCAGTGTTGTGGGCAGTATCGACCATGGAAATGACCGTTCACAATTCATATGGACTTATCTGGCTTCGAGGAGTCGTACGGTCCGCTCCAGCCAAAAGGGAAGAAAACAAGAAGAAGCAACAACAACCCTTAGAATATAACGCGCAAACATGCGTCCCCAAGCATGCAGTGCAGACACTGAGATCCTTGCGCGCACGCATGCATCCGTAAACACACCGTAGCACATGTACAGTAGGTGCATCTAAAGCCTCCTACATCGAACCCAGTGTCGCTGAGGCACACACACGCCAGCGGAATGGGTAACTGCGATAGCAAGACTCTCGGTCCGGACCTAGATGACTCCGAACTCCGACCTTCTACACTGAACCCTACCTATAGTCTCCGTTGTAGTTTTTTTGGCTTAACCGATCCTAAAGCGGTAAGCCCAAAAACGAACTACAATGGAGACTATAGGAGAGCGCTAAACCCCCGAACCCCAACGGAACCCGTCTAGAAGCCCCGGAAGGAACCCGAAGAGGGCTTCGGATCGGAACTGTGGGGTTTCCCCAAGGGACGGAAGCCCCCCCCCCCGGTATTCCCTACCGTCCTATAAATTACGATTTAGGGTTTAGGGTTTAGGGCCTGTATAAACCCCGAGCCCAAAATCCTACACTCTTACATCACCCGAAAGCTGAAGCGCAGAGCCGCAAAACTGTTGATAATCTGAATAGCGAATGGGATTCTACTTGTAGGGTCTCTATCTTCATATACTTAAACACAGGGAGCCCAAGGATTATTACAATGGCATTTCTAGTGGCTTCGTATGTTGTCCAAGCATGAAGCCCATCAGGGCACCCTAGCGTCCCTAAACCCCCCAAAAATACCCTAAACCTTGGGTTTAGGGTTTAGGGGTTTAGGATTTAGGGGCCCTAGCGTCCCTCAACCCTAAACCTTACGGGGTGCCTTTTCTATTTAGCCGTCTACTACTTTGGCCTCTACCAGGGTTTCCTATTTTTCTCAAACTCCCGAGAAGGGAGTTGGTCCTTGGCCCAACCCTGAACCCTAAACCCTAAATCCCTAAACCCGACCCGGAGCACCAAACCTTAAGCAGTGCGTAAACGGTGGCCCAGGTGTTTTTGATGTAGGGAGAGTTTAGATGAGAGGACAACAACCCGAGTTCAAAGCCAAGCCCATGCTTTGGGGCCTAGTATATACGGACCCCAGCAAACTGAATAAGGTTCGGTGTATCTTTTATCAAGGAACCCTTGACAATCCTAAGTACTACTAATCATTCAGACTGTGGGGGGCAATGAGGTACACAGTCCACAAGTTGAGGTTCAGAGTTTAGCGTGCGATGGGCAGCTTCAAAGTGGGAGGTTTAAAGGACTGAGGTTCGGGGGCGGTTTTTCATGGATTGAGGTTTAGGATGTTTCGGATCCCCCCAAAGGTGTGAAGTAAAGTGTCCTGCCGTTGGTCTCCTGGGACTTTCAAGCAGACCAGAAGACCCTGAAAGCCTCTGGAGCTGTAAGCCCAAAGCCCGAAATCGCAAAGCCTAGGGGGCTACTGCAAAGCCGAAGGCGCATCCCGAAACCGTAGTCACTAGTAAGCTCCAAGGCACTCCATTATAGATGCCTTATCTCAAGGCATGGAAGGTTTAGGGTTTAGGGTTCAGGGTTTAGGGTTTAGGGTTTAGGGTTCAGGGTTTAGGGTTCAGGGTTTAGGGTTTAGGGTTGAAGAAGCTGTCCGAGACCGAGGAGTGCGGAGTCTGGCAACGAAGTGGTCATCACAAAGCTGCAGCAAGTCCCAAACACAGGCCTTCCCTCGTGGTTTTCGGGTGGCTTTGTGTTTCGGGTCGTAGGATGCAGGACTTTAGCCTTTCGGGTTCGCGATTCAGGGTTCAGGGTTTAGGGTCTAGGGTTTAGGGGTCTTAGGTCTTTGGAGTTAGGGCGTGGGCATTAGGAAATAGGCTTTGATGATTCAGGGTTGAGGGTGGCAAGGATTACTTGTAGGATTCAGGGTCAAGCGTGCGGCGTACATCAGGATTTTTTTTTTGGGGGGGGGNNGGTTGGCGCTGGGAAGATTTAGGCTTGGGTTTTCTGCTTTTTTCTTGGGCTAGGCTCTGATTAGGGTCGGAAGGGGAGGTCCTCCTGCCGTCCAAGGCCAAGGGCTGAGTGTCGAGGGTGTGCGGGGCGTCACGCCTGGGTATTCCGGGAATCTTCGAGAACCGAGGGCTCCTTAAATGGATCTGTAAGGGTTTCTATAGGGTTTCTATACGGGTACTATAAGGGTAGTTCTCGAGACTAGGGTCCCTTTTTATGTCCTCCAAAAGTACGGCACGGGGTCCGAAGTTCACCGATATCATCGGATGCATAGCCGAAGCGCCGAACCGGAAGTCCTAAGCAAGAACCCTTCATCGCAAGAAGCCCAGCCATCAGACTCTTAGAACTTCAGGGTTTGGTTGAGGATTATGGGGCTCCTAGACAGCACTTTGGGAAACTCTTCAGTTTCTCTTTACTTAAGGGTTCCTATAGAGATACCTATCCATAAGCACCTTTCAGGGCCCGAAAACTGCAACCCAGGTCAGGGGGATTTGGGATCCCTAGTTGGGCAGCGAACAAGGCCTGGCAACCAGAAAGCTGATCAACTATTTTAAAAGTGAGGCAGAGCCAGACGAAAAGAGTAGCAATCATAATGCCTCAAGCTTTAGGAATTTTAAGCTGTGTTGAGGGTGTCAGAGTGTAGCATCTTTTGATGGCTTCAGGCTAAGGCGAAGGTGTTCCGGTCCATCCAGCATGCGCCACAAGGAACGCCATTTTCAAACCCTCAACCACCGATTCCCAACAACAGCTTGGGGCGTGTTAAAGAGCTCCCGAAACCCTTCCCCCTAAGCCCCTTCTAGAATTCTTCGGAAGAGGGCTTGACGGAATCCTGCAGAGCCCTCGCCAAACCCTAAACCCCAAACCCTAAACCCTAAACCCTATAAACCCTAAACCAAACCCCAAGGGATGTTGCCTTAGTCTTGCCAGGCATCCATGAGAGCCTCAAAACTCTGCCTGTGCGAAGCAACGAGAAGATGGGTTGGAAACCCGCCCCTTGGCACTTCGGAGGTAGCAAGTATAGCTTATAAGGTTTAGGGTTTAGGGTTTAGGGTTGAGGGTATACCCTAATCCCAGAAGCCCAAACTCTTAACCGGATAATGCAGTTAGGAATTTGGGCCTTTGGGTTGGGGGCAGCAGTGTGATTGAGTTTGCAAGAGTATCCCACCATAGGCCCTACACACTTTTTGCTACATATGCTCCACAACCCTTCTGTGACGTCGATTCCTTTTTGAGGAGCTTGAGGGGGTGCTTTATAGTTTTGGGGGTTTACGACATGTCTTAAGGCACTCGGAGTTGATTAAAAGTTGTGAAGCAGCTTCAGTGTGCTACGATCCAAGATCTAGGATGAGGTCTGTGTGGGTGGTGGGCCAAGGCTCTAAACCGTTCAACCAGCTATACTCCACCCTAATCCCTAATGCCTAAACGGCCCTGAACCCTAAACCTACAACGCGAATGCCTCATGGTTTAGGACTGTGGATTCGGGTCTTGCGGGGCTTAGGGCTCCAATGCTGCCTAAACCCTAAACCTCCAAGTCGCAAGCACAGACATAGGACATGCCGGATCACCGGGATCATCACGTCAAGTTCAAGGACGTAGAGCCGAAGGCTGGGCCCCTTGGCAGCCTTAGGGGTTTTGGGCTTTAGGAGTTTAGGGCTTTCGGGGTTTTAGGGCTTTAGGGCTATAGGGGCTTTAGGGGTTTAGGGCTTTACGGGTTTAGGGGTTTAGGGTTTTAGAGGTTCGGGGCTGTTGGTTTGGTCAGGTGTTTCAGGGCTTCAGCGCTTCAGGTGTAGACTTCCCTCTCCGGGGCGCTGGTTCACCCGGTTTCGAGCTTGATATGGGGGTTTCCGAAAACAGGGGACCCCAATGTAGTACCCTAAATGGTAGGATCCTTATTATAAGGACCCCAAAATAAGGTACCCTAATTCTCGAAACCACCGAACCACCGAAGCCCAAGTCTGAACCAGAAGTTTCGGATGTCCGAGGTCGGATTGGGGATTGGGATTCAGGACATCGTGCTTGCAGGAGTGAGTCCTTAGCAGATTATCCTATGCAGCCGTTCCCCTACTTTCATTCCTGCCGTCCTCCGACAGAACACTGAAGACACCGAGCCCAAAGCCGCAATAAACAGAGAGGCACATGTAGAGTGTGGCCATACATGCCCCAAACATTCTCCTACCCATGCCACCACTACCAAGGCCTGAACGATTAGAGGAATTTACCCCCAGAGTCCCGACATGAGCATCATCTAACTCACGCCCTATACTTATGAACCTGATATGATGATACGACCCTGAAGCCAAGTGCCGAATTCGTGGATACTCGGACCTTTCAGGGAAAGCCTCAGACACTACACTCCATGAGGTTCTCCAGAAGAACCGCTTCAGCCGAGAAGGATTCCTAAACCCTAAACCCTAAACTCTAAATCCCTAAATCCCTAAATGTCTAAAGCCCCTACTCACCCTAAACCCCAAACCCTAAACCCGAAACTCTAAACCCCAAAACCTGGAAACCTTCAAGTCAGCAAGAGAAACTAAAGCCAAAGCCCTGAAGTTTAGGGTTTAGAGTTTAGGGTTTAGAGTTTAAAGTTTAGAGTGTAAGGTTTAGGGCTTAGAGTTTAGGGCCCCTGCCCAGGATCCAAAAGCGGATGAACGGCAACGGAGACGAGATTCTGGGCTCTGGAGTACCCTACTTTATTACTTGTTTGGACGTGTTCCTTCCAGTTTATCCATCTTGAAACACACACCCTAGACCCTAAACCCGAAACCCCTAAACCCAAAACCCCTAAACCCTGGAGAAGCCAGCCAAGTCGTCGGGGTCGAGTCTGAGTTAGGGGTCGAGGTGCCAGAAGGTGCTGAGCAGCAAAGGAGTCGACCTAGTCTGACAAGACATTCGGGAAAAAGGTCAAAAAGGTCCGGTTAAACAAAACCAAACCCCTAAACCTTAAGCCCCTAAACCCTAAGCCTAAACCCTCAAAGCTGGCTACTTCAGAGCCCAGGATTATTGACCTCCGACCCGATGAGGCATTCCCCATCTTCGACCAAGGCAATCTGTGGGTTTAGGGTACTGAGGATTTGGGGCATGTTGATTAGGGTTTGTAGGGGAGTTTTGGGCTTAGTAGGGTTTGTAGGGGAGTTTTGGGCTTAG